AGGAAGTATGCCAAATAGAACACAGCATCAAAAATGATCTGATAATTCCAGATCAGTCATTCAATATCCCATCTTTTTCTCAACATGGGAGCCACAGAACAATAAATCAAATTATTCTGGCTTTAATAAATTGCAAATACTATTATTACTACTCCACTTTTTCCCCAGTTCAGGAAAGATGAGAATTGACTACTGATGGAAGGCCTCAACCCAGTCTAGAGTATTGAAGCTGATGGGATTAATCCCACTTGTGTATGTGGCACAACCAAACAATGCATGTTTCTATTGTATTCTGTATGTGACTGATGTTTGCTGGATTGTGCTGAGCACGATCAAAATCTAGCAGAGTAGGTAGTGCATTAATTAACGTTAACCTCCCTTTCAGGGTACTTCTTCCAACCTAGTTAAAAAATTAAAAAGTATAAGGTTATCTATTACATAAAAGAAAAATACTGAATTTCATCAAATCCAAGATGTACTTTTTTCAGTTTAAGGAGCTTCAAAACAGGTGTGCTTTAGATTTGATGACACCTTAAGATTTGCAGGTTATGGGGATCTTTTTAAACTGTCTTACTTTAAGAGAAGAGAAGGATCCCTGCCCCAAACAGCTCTGACACACCCTTCATTTTGTCCTAAGCCTAAGCCAAACGACTTTTTCCACTGTCTCCCCAATAAGCCTATAGAGTTAGGAAAGAGACTTATGCAGACAAGATGACCTCCAGGTTTCTTCACATCCCTTCATTACTGCACAGCTACAATGAAGCAAAAACAAGGTATTGTACATACAAAGGAAAGTCTAAGAATTTTTTTTTTCCAAAATTGATGCTTCAAAAATGGGGTGTGTCTTGCAGCTGATAGTGTCTTAGTTTTGGTGAAATATAGTACTACTTAAAGCAATTACATAACAGCTGACAAGCTAAGAATTGTAATAACAAGCAGAACACATTCAAACAAAAGAAAAAAGATCTTCAATTTGTGCACAGATGGGTAAAGTGCAGCCTTCCAAATGTTGAGCTACAGTTTCCAATAGACCTCACCAGCATTGCTGAAGGTGGTGAGGGTTGCAATTCAACATCAGAAAGGCTACACTTTGCTCTGCGGTCTTTACAGGCTAATATGGATAGGGACCATGTATATCTAGGAACATAATTACGAAGATCCAAGGCCACGACTGAAAAGGCCAAATCAGCCAGGTGTCGAAGCCTCATTTTAAGGCATGAAGCAAGTTCCTAAGAGTCCACAGAGTTCTTCAAATTACCTGGTCCTACCTGGGCTTTAAAGGTGAAAAGCCTCACTTTAAACTGAGCGTAGAAAAAAAAATAGACAATTGGTTTAGTTCCTACAAATGTATGTTTAGTTTATTCCAAATGCTTGCAAGGGCACAGAAGGCTGTCTTATACTTAGGCAAAACTTGGTAATCTATCTACACTAATACTGTCTACACTGACTGGCAGTGGCTCTTCAGCATTTCTTGAACTTTATTCTGTATCAGTTGGAAGTTTCAAAATTCTATTTGAAGGCAGTCAGGGAACACACATAATTTCAAGTAAACTGCTAATCAAGAGTTTTATTATTGTCTATTGTTTTAGAAGCTAAGGTCAATTTACTTAAAGATGGTAAAAGGTCACAATTTCTTCTAGCTTTCATGCCCCATGCAGTGGTTCTAAACCTGTGGGTCCCCAGGTGTTTTGGCCTACAATTTCCAGAAATCCCAGCCAGTTTACCAGCTCTTAAGATTTCTGGGAGTTGAAGGCCAGAACATCTGGAGACCCAAAGGTTGAGAACCACTGCATTGCTTACTGCTCAGATAATGCTTTTTAAAGGTTGTTGGTGGTTGCAAAGAAGAGAGCAGAAATCTCCCTCCTCTACTTTTCTCAGTTCAATTCCTCCTAGAAACAAGTGTTCATGATCTAATTAGATATTAAATATTTCAGAAGCCAAACATTTGCAGTCTTTGCTATTCTTGCCTCCATTCCATCTCACAAAAACATTGCTAATGTGCCTGCTCGTAGATGTAAGCCGTAGTGTAAATTTGATTACATAATGGACCCCAACATTTCAAACTGCAAGTTGGGATCAGTGTTGAATGTTGCCTTCTGTTTAAAACAAGAATGGGCAAGGTGTAGCTCTCCAGATGGTGTTGGACTATAAATCCTACATGATTTAGTTAGCAGTTTATTCACTCTTTGTTTAAAAGCAAACCAACTTTCTGCAGATACTGGACACATGTGGTATGCCAAATACTTCTTTATGAGAAACATTTAAAATGGCTTCCCTTACTTTCAACAAAGCTGCAAAATCTATTCTAACCACTGCATTCAGCTGCATGCCTAGACTAACGTCAAGCAAGACATCAGGCATGTAATTGGTATTATTGACATTACAATTGCCACTAGCCACCAATTTTGAGATAAATAATAACCAAAAGTCTAGAAATCCACATAAGTCATATTGTCAAGCAATTCGTGAAATGACAGCTCATAACAATAAAAAAGCATTGAAGAGTATGAATAAAATTTGTCACCACCTTCCAACGTAGAAAGCTCTCTCAATGATGCTGCAATTAACCGATCCATGTTCCTCCTCAACTCTTTGTCATTGCTATAAATACTAAGTATATAATATTTATAGCTCAAGTGCTTTCTGTAATCCTTTGGGTGTGCTCTTCAGATTTTAATTCAAAGTGCTTCACAAGTTTGTATGCATCCCCTTCAATCAGTATGCTTTTCTTTAATAGGTAAGAATTGAGGCCACATATAATTAGTCAGGAACTGAATAAAAGCAATCTTCCAAGAATCAGCCAGAGTGATTGAAGGCTACCTGACACATTTCACAGCTGAGAAATAAAGGTGCTAATTGGCTCTCTAAAGTCATCAGGAAATGAATGGTATAGTAGATGGCCTTCTAGAATCAAAGATTGAACTTCTCTTTCCAATGTAAGTGGAAAAACTCGTGCATCTTTCAGAAATGCAAAATTGTAGACCTCAGTAATCTACTGTTTGAGTCTTTATAACAAGCAGGTGAGTAGTCTGTCAAAAATGCCTATGCGTACATACAACATCTTCCTTTTGAAAAAGTGACATTTAAAAGAAATGGGTGTGGTGAAAGTTTCAGAAAGGATAATTCATTCATGGGGCCCTAAAAAGCAATCGGATCACAAGGCCAGCTTTGAGGTCCACATGTTGCCTCAGAGCCACATTCTCCTCCATCCTTTTCGGTGAACTTTCCCGAGCTCTAGGCCTTTAAATGTTTTGGACTGCAACTCTCAATGCCTTTGATTCTTGTTCATATTGGTGGAAGATTTAATTTAATTTGTTTTTAAACTGATTATTTTTGTTATTTGGTAGGTTAAATAGATTTATATGTTTTATTTAATTATTTAAACTTTGTGACTAGTTGTTATAATTTGTTATAGATTCATTCATGGGGCTGTTTGTTCATTTTGTATTGTTTTATGGCACTGAATGTTTGCCATCCTTTGTTGGAAACTGCCCTGAGTCCCCTCCGGGAGATAGGCCGAGTTATATATAAAGCTATTTATTTATTTAAGATGCTGAACAAATAAGCCGAAGGGCAACAGACTAGGGGATATGTCTTTATAGAGGATGGCCCTCCCAGCTCTGATACTATTATTATAATGAAGCAGAACTGCTGACAATGTATAATCAGGACTTATTACTACACAACAATATCCTATATTCATTTCTACATTGCTGTATGCAAAGGAGGAAGGAACACAGTCAGTCACTGGGGTACAAACAAGATAGGTTCAATAGGTTTGTTTTTATGTTGAATTAGTATGGAAGTCAAAACAGGTACATTTTTTAAGTGTAAGGCAAAGGTAAGGGTTTTCCCCTGACATTAAGTCTATTCGTGTCCAACTCTGGGGGTTGGTGCTCATCTCTAAGCACCAAGAGCTGAAGAGCTGGCGTTGTCTGTAGACACCTCCAAGGTCAGGTGGCCAGCATGACTGCATGGAGTGCTGTTGCCTTCCCGCCAGATCTCACATTTGCATGTTTTGTACTGCTAGATTGGCAGAAGCTGGGGCTAACAGTGGGAGCTCACTTCAGTCCCTGAACTTGAACCACTGACCTTTTGGTCAGCCAGTTCAGCAGTTTGTTTATTTACTATATTTTTACCCTGTCCTTCTCACCCTGAACTCAGGGCAACTTACAAACTACAGCAAAAATTCAATGCTGCATCGTGCACATAATAAACATATCATAAAATATAAAACAGTTAAAACATATAAACAGTATATTACAATTAAAAACGTACAAAGTGCCGAGTCATGATTTTAACCCACTCTGCCACCGGGGGCTCCTCTTAAGTGTTGCTCCAACCAATTTTTTAAAAAGTTTTGGATAGCACCTCTGTGGTGTTTTGTTTTGCTATCTGTGTCCCTGTTCCAAAGATTTCTGTCCTTGTGATAACTGGGATTTTGAAAAAATTGACTTGTGGAAAGAAGGATTGGCGATAAAGCTTCAGTCAGGAGTTAATTTCCCTTCCCAGGGTCAGATTTACTCTTACTTCTTGTCTCACTCCCGTTTGTTACTTGGGGCCTGCCTGCACACCCAACAGTAATATTGAATCATTAAAATAAGAGATACAAGCATTCTGTTTGCTGCAGTAGTTCCAACAAGAAGTGACTCATGAAATAATATTGGACAAAAAAAGTTGTAGACTAGTCTTGCCAACCAACTTTCCTACAACAATTACAATATGAACTGTAAACATAGACCTCAGGGAAGTTCCACACTTATTTCAAGTGTGGAACTTCTAAACTATAAGGTAGGTGACATTCGCTTTGTAAGGTAGTAAAAATACCAACCATTATTAAATTCTTTTAATGTTTTTCACATCTGCTTTTTGTTATAAGTATGCAATGATTTTCTATGAGACCACACAAGGCCAAAAACAATTGAAGAGTTCTTTTACAGGACTATTTTTTACATCTTCTGGGTATGGAAATTAAAAATAATTTAAAATCCACTGCTGTATACTGACAGTCAATTTATTCACAGTTAAAACATTATTTACAGAGTACTCTCCTGAGAATTATTCTATTAAGCTTCAATTTGAGCAATAATAAAGAATTGCTTAAGTAACTGTAGTTACTTAACAGCAAATACATGAATTGAGAGGAAAAGGATAAGTTACTCTTAAGTGAGAATCAAGTTTCTTGTGATTCTTGTTGATCTGTAGAAGATGCAGTTGAGAGATGGGTTGACTCAGCAGGCAGTTCGTTTCTGTTATCAGGTGGCAATGGGGGGAAAAACCCAGCCCTTGGAGGTGGATACTGGGAAAAAGGCCTCAGAGGAAAAGGACCTCTCACTGTTGAAAAAAAAAAAAGAGAAAGTCCTCTTCAGCTTATAGTGAGGCTAGAGCAATTCTCTGACAAAGTTACTGAACACACTTCATCGCCACTGAAATCAAAACTATCTGCAAATGGAAACAATATTAGATGGTTTACCAGTAACACAATTCCATGGTGACAAAGCCAACTGTGGCAGAGGAGAGGAGGATCCAAGTTAAACAGCTAATGTTTCATGTTTACCAATCATTACTAATGACTGAGTAGCTGTTGCTTAGCACCAGCTTCGTAAGAGACATTAGGGAAATGAGACTGGGACAATTTTCTTCAACGTACTGTTATAATACAGACCTCATGGTTCCCCAACAGCATAGACTTAAGGCTAGCAGGAGATGATGAGAGTTTTAGTCTGCCACATCTACAGGTCACTAGCTTGGGACACATTATTGCAAACACATCCATCTATACTACTGTGCTAAAGTCACAATCCTTTTACTGTGGAGGATTTTGTAAAACGTTGATACTATTGTCTCCTCATCTGACAAAGGAAAGCAAATGAGAACTGAGACCAGTGGTTTTCCTGATCATATAACTTGAAAATTTAGAAATATCTATGGCTACATGCTGATATAAATTGGAGCAAATATTTAGCCATGTTTTCTAAAACAAACTATAATAGCATTATTTATTTATTTACTTACTTACTTACTTACTTACTATCTATATTTATATCCCGCCCTTCTCAACCCCGAAGGGGACTTAAGGTGGCAAAATTCAATGCTTTAAACAATTCAACAATTAAATAACATTTAGTTAAAAATCTAAATGAAGTTAAAAGCAATTAAAACATAAACAATACCACTTACAACTATAAAATCACATTATCCACAATCAAGGTTGGGCCATTCCAGTGATCGTTACACATAAATACAAGCCATCTATTGCACTGTATTAGTTACCAGATAAACCTGGTTTAGCTTAAACTTGTACAAAAGTATAGTACAGGCACAATTGGCAGGTCAACTATGGCTAAATATGGAAAGTGATGGAACAGGACATAACTACAATCGATTAACAACCCATTATTTCAGCTGCAACTTCGAAGCAGCTGTGTGTTAAATTACTTATGGTTTCCAAATGCTTTTAACTGTTACTTTGCAAAATTAATGCAAGTACCTACTTGGCATGAGAGGACGTGGCAGACCAGCAAAATCCCTTGGAAAATATTCACGAGGTCCATATGCAGCACTAGGAGGCACTGGTGGAAAGGGAGGGCCTCTTCTTATGAAGGCTCCTCTTGGGTCCATTGGCATCAGAGGAGGTCTCATTAAGGGGAGGGAAGGAGGCACAGTTCCAGGACCTAAGGGGTCACTTTCAGGTACAAGAGACTGATCCGTCATGTGGACTGCATTCTGGAACCAAAACAGTTTAAATAAATAAATAAATAACAACAACAACACCGCTTTATTTGTATACCGTCCTATCTCCCCAAGATGACTCAGGGCAGTTTCCAACATAGGGCAAAACATTTGATTGCTGAATGACACAAAAACCATACAAAATATACATAAAACATGAACATAATCCTATAAATTAACCTTTTCAAAGATGCTGTCTCGTGCAAAACACATGTCAACACCAATCCAAGCCAGAAATGAAAGAGAACCAGTTCAAAGGCTACAAATTGAAAAGTGTTCATTAAAGCTAGACACTATTAGTGAGAACCAGAGTTCTCTATGAATGAACCAACTCCTATTCAAGGGAAAGGATGGTCTAATCTAGTGGAAGCTTCTCCTATGCAAAGGTAGGCAACTCAGGTGCCATTTGGATGCTTTGGATTACAACTCTAAAGAGCTTCCAAGGAGCATGGTTAATAAACAAGGATTATGCCCAAAGAAAACGAAAACCAAGAAGGCAAAATGGTTGTCTGCTGAGACACTGGAAGTAGCCCAAGAAAGGAGGAAAGCAAAAGGAAACAGGGATAAGGGGAGATATGCCCAGTTAAATGCGCAATTCCAGAGGTTAGCCAGAAGAGATAAGGAACTATTTTTAAATAAGCAGTGCATGGAAGTGGAAGAAGACAACAGAATAGGAAGGACAAGAGACCTCTTCCAGAAAATTAGAAACATTGGAGGTAAATTTCAGGCAAAAATTGGTATGATAAGAAACAAAGATGGCAGGGACCTAACAGAAGCTGAAGAGATCAAGAGAAGGTGGCGAGACTATACAGAAGATTTGTATAGGAAGGATAATAATATTGAGGATAGTTTTGACGGTGTGGTGAATGAATTAGAACCAGACATCCTGAGGAGTGAGGTTGAATGGGCCTTAAGAAGCATTGCTAACAACAAGGCAGCAGGAGACGACGGGATCCCAGCTGAACTGTTTAAAATCTTAAAAGATGATGCTGTCAAGGTGATGCCTGCCATTTGCCAGCAAATATGGAAAACACAAGAATGGCCATCAGACTGGAAAAAATCAACTTATATCCCCATACCAAAAAAGGGAAATGCGAAAGACTGCTCAAACTTCCGTACAGTGTCCCTTATTTCTCATGCCAGTAAGGTAATGCTCAAGATCCTGCAAGGAAGACTCCAGCAATACATGGAGCGAGAGTTGCCAGATGTTCAAGCTGGGTTTAGAAAAGGCAGAGGAACGAGAGACCAGATTGCCAATATCCGCTGGATAATGGAGAAAGGCAGGGAGTTTCAGAAAAACATCTACTTCTGCTTCATTGACTATTCTAAAGCCTTTGACTGTGTGGATCATAATAAATTGTGGCAAGTTCTTGGTGGGATGGGCATCCCAAGCCACCTTGTCTCTCTCCTGAGGAATCTGTACAAGGACCAAGTAGCAACAGTCAGAACTGACCACGGAACAACAGACTGGTTCAAGATTGGGAAAGGCGTCCTGCAAGGCTGCATCCTCTCACCCAACCTTTTTAACTTGTATGCAGAACACATCATGCGATGTGCGGGGCTGGATGAATGCAAAGCTGGGGTGAAAATTGCTGGAAGAAACATTAACAACCTCAGATATGCAGATGACACCACTCTGATGGCCGAAAGCGAGGAGGAGCTGAGGAGCCTTCTAATCAAGGTGAAAGAAGAAAGCGCAAAAGCCGGGTTGCAGCTAAACGTCAAAAAAACCAAGATTATAGCAACAAGAATGATTGACAACTGGGAAATAGAGGGAGAAACCGTGAGGCCGTGACAGACTTTGTATTTCTAGGTGCAAAGATTACTGAAGATGCAGACTGTAGCCAGGAAATCAGAAGACGCTTACTTCTTGGGAGGAGAGCAATGTCCAGTCTCGATAAAATAGTGAAGAGTAGAGACATCAGACTGGCAACAAAGATCCGCCTAGTCAAAGCCATGGTATTCCCTGTAGTCACCTACGGATGTGAGAGCTGGACTTAGGGAAGGCTGAGCGAAGGAAGATCGATGCTTTTGAGCTGTGGTGTTGGAGGAAAGTGCTGAGAGTGCCTTGGACTGCGAGAAGATCCAACCAGTCCATCCTCCAGGAAATAAAGCCCGACTGCTCACTGGAGGGAAAGATACTAGAGACAAAGTTGAAGTACTTTGGCCGCATCATGAGGAGACAGGAAAGCCTAGAGAAGACAATTATGCTGGGGAAAGTGGAAGGCAAAAGGAAGAGGGGCCGACCAAGGGCAAGATGGATGGATGGCATCCTTGAAGTGACTGGACTGACCTTGAGGGAGCTGGGGGTGGTAACGGCCGACAGGGAGCTCTGGCGTGGGCTGGTCCATGAGGTCACGAAGAGTCGGAGACGACTGAACGAATGAACAACAACATGCCAGTTGTAATCCAAATATTTGGAAGGCCTCCAGCTCCAAGCTAGAGGAAGACAGAGTGAAACAATATTCACTGATTTCACCTGCACCCTCCAGACACCCCACTGCCCCAGAGATTCCCCCAACCTCTTAAGAGCAGATTTCCAGAGCTGCAAATGGGTGCAAGGAGAGAAAGTGCCGGCAAGAGTTGCCTCATAATATTGGCTGGTGGGAACATCTTTATAAATTGTGTGTTGTCGGGACAGATGTTCCTCAACAAATCCTAGTTAGAATCCAAACCAATGCTATCCTTGTGCTAAAAAATCTATTCCATTCTTTTCAACTCTCTTTGCTTTTGTGCCCTTTCATCTTTTCTTGCTCTTGTCATGTATGTGGCAAAAGTTGAGAGAGTACTTGGCAGTAGAGAGAATGGCAGACCAGCAAAATCCCCTGGAAAATATTCACAAAGGTTGTAAAAATGCTTTCTTACAGAACCTTCCTTGTCATCTAGCCCACAATGTAATAAATCTACTAAAATACTATACAAACTGTTTTAGAAACAGTCAATTTCGATAGAAATCTGTTATAAGAATGACATCAAATTCAACAAAAGCATTTTCTCAGTCTATTACTTACACTGTCATTGGGATGATCTTTTATTCCATTTCCACTCAAGTCCACTCTTGAGTTATTCTCAGCTGGCTGTCCATCTGAATAGGGGGCAAAATATCCAATATGCACTTTATCATTGAGAGGCCAGCACACATTTTTCCTCTCATGACAGATGAGTGTCAAAATATGATGCATTCATCTTTTTATTAAGCACAAGAGTGGAATGAGAATGCATGAATACTTCCACATACTTCAGAAACTGATTATTTTCACAGCTCACCACCACTTTAATATGCTGTTTTCCTAGTGAAGCTGAATAAAGGACATTTGCTAGGCAAATGAAAAGAGCTAGTGTGTAAACACCAACAATGGTGTTTAAATGCTTCACAAAGAAAACAAGGAGCACTTGTCTTGACAAGGTTTGTTTTTAATTTTCAATCAATGTTTTACTGACTGGCTTAAATATGAGGGTTTGGATTTCTTGCTTTTTGTGTTTTAGCCTCAGCCAAACCCATAATAAACACCTTCATTCAGGCACATAAACAGCAGCTCCTACCCGTTTTATCAAATGATTGCATACTGTAACTCCTTAGTTCTCCTGGTCCTGAAAACCTTCCAGAATTTGGGTGATTTGGGTAAAATCTTTCTGGTCTTCGCGCAGGAAGGGGTTGTTCATTATATAGCTGACCTGTCATTCAAGAAATGTTGCGGTTTAGTAGATATTCCTATAATTATAATTATGCAGCAATGACAAGTCAAATATTTTGAATTCATTATGCCACAAAATATGTAAATGCAAAAAGCAACAAATTCCTGTTGATTAATTAATGGAAACCAGGCATCTAATTTTTCATCTACAGATGTCATTTGTCATCCATCTCAAATGGTGCAGAAGAGTTATTAAAAACATTGCAACACCCGCATATTTTGTCATATACTATAGAATGCTTGGAACTCAGAGTCCCTGGTCGGACACAGTGCTATTCACAGGGTTTAGTACAAAAGGCCTCTAGCAAAGCAGAACCTGCAAGATCTTGCTCTAAGTCAGTGGTTCTCAACCTTCCTAATGCCGCAACCCTTTAATACAGTTCCTCATGTTGTGGTAACCCCCAACCATAACATCATTTTCATTGCTACTTTATAATTTTGCTACTGTTATGAATTGCAATGTAAATATCTGATATGCAGGATATATTTTCATTAACTGGACCAAATTTGTCACAAATACCTCATACACTCAAATTTGAATACTGGTGGGGTTGGGGGAGATTGATTTTGCCATTTGGAAGTGTAGTTGCTGGAATTTATAGTTAACCTACAATCAAAGAGCATTCTGAACTCCACCAATGATAGAATTGAACCGAGCTTGGCACACAGAACTCCCATGACCAACAGAAAATACTGGGTCTGATGGACATTGACCTTGAGTTTTGGAGTTGTAGTTCAGCTACATCCAGAAAGCACAGTGGACTCAAACAATAATGGATCTGGACCAAACTTGGCATGAATACTCAATATGCCCAAATGTGAACACTAATGGAGTTTGGGGAAAATAGACCTTGACATTTGGGAGCTACAGTTGCTTGGATTTATAGTTCACCTATAATCAAATAACATTTTGAATCCCACCAATGATAGAATTGGGCCAAACTTCCCACACAGAACACCCATAACCAACAGAAAAGACTGGGTTTTCCGATGGTCTTTGGTGACCTCTCTGACAACCCTCGTGACCCCCCCCCCCCGATCCCAACCCCCAGGTTGAGAAACACTGCTTGAAGTGCCATGTCAATAAAGTATAAACACTCTGCCCACAAGCCTCAGTAAGGAGCGGAGATTTATTCCTAATGCTGTGTCATGATGCCTGCAACAGGGCTGAGCCATTGATTATGAAATGTAAAAAAACAGAGTGTAGAAAACTTTATATCTAAAGCACCATGCTTGCTGTAAAACAAAAAGGTGCTCGCTTAATTTCTGAAGAGCAGAATACCAGTGCTGCCAGTTGCCTTCTTCGCTGTTGTGCAGAAACAACCCAGGACAGCATCGATTATTTCTTATTATGAGCAGGCAAAATGTCAGGAGAGAATGCTGCTGGAACATGGCCAAACAGCCTGAAAAACTCATAGCAATCCAGTGTTTCCAGCCGTAAGAGCCTTTGGCAACATATTTCTTATTGGTTTGACTTGTCTCTTTCTAGCTCTCATTTTCACAGTAACAACCTTTAAACTTTGAAATATGTGCTGAAATGACAAATTTGTGGATGCTACCAAAAGTGTAACATTGCAGCTTAGATCCATAGCTTCCCCATGCAGATGGATATATGAGATATCCAAACAATCCCTTCTCAGGAGACAGCAACTAAGATTTCTTGAGAAACTGCTGATCTCTTAGGCTGTCACATAGTGTTCGAAATAGCAGGCAAAACTGTACTTCATTTGGTGCCTTACATAATCTCAAGGGAGGTTATGTTACATTTCAAGTATCTTCTACTTTGGTTATCTGGAAAACTGACTGCTATTAAATTGCTAGTGTTAAAAACAAAAAAGCAAATAAATGGACACATCGTATGTGCTATTGTTCACTTCTCTGACATTTTCAGCTGCCCCTGGCCATAGCCTAAAAGACTGAATTCTACAAATATAATGGGAAACTGTTTAGTATACTTGTTCCCCTTCCCCAATTACAAATGCTGATGCAAACACTCAGATGAAATTGGGAATGTTTTAAATGTTTAAGTGTAATGTTTTAATTGGGCCTTTTAAACACTATAGGTTTTAACTACCGTATATACTTATGTATAAGCTGACCCGAATTTAAGCCGAGGCCTCTAATTTTACCACAAAAAATAAATAAATGGGAAAACATATTGACTGTAGTATAAGCTGAGGGTGGGAAATGCAGCAGCTACTGGTAAATTTCAAAATAAAAATAGATACCAATAAAATTACATTAACTGAGGCATCACTAGGTTAAATGTATTTGATTATTTACATAAAACTGTAATTTAAGATAGTAATAATAACAGAATAAAATATGAAAGAAAAGCAGCATATAAATAAAATAAATCTATTTGCTGATGATGAGAAAATGCAGCTAATTTAAACTGAGCTTAATTTCTACTAATTTAAAAATCATTTTACTAATTAAAAAGGGATTTTTTTCAGGTTTTCCAGGGCTTTATGGAAACATGAAATAGTTGGTATCTTGGTGCTTCCATCCACCTCACCTCCCTCAGTCAAAAGTTTGTTTACGTGAGGTATTAGTTTGTATTATAGAGAAAATAAGATCTTGATCTTTTTGGTTCATTTTTCCCCTGAATATAATACAATACTACATTTTCCCATCATATTATCAGTTTAGGAGTGTGTGTCCCCCCGCCTTCACGCACACACTCACTTTGGTATCTATAGAGAACACTTTTTCTGTTAATGGTGTAGAATAAAACAGAATAAAGCTTTACAGTTTATAAAATGGTGAAAGAATAATTATAAAATATCTATCTGCCAATGAATAATGGACAAGTTACCTGTATGAGATGGATTTATCCGGTGATCTCTATCCCATGGAGGCGACAGAGATCCAGTGTCAGAAGGTGGTCTGTGGGAATCAGGTAACCTATCAGAATTCATCTCTCCTCTTTCATTACCCATGTCATAGGCATTCCCAGGTCCTCTTGATCCTAAACAAACAAGTTAACAAATATGGATTCAACAACTTGGGGCATATGTTGGTACCATTTCCACTGAGCCTGCAAGAATGCAAACCTTGATATTCTGAAATGATAAACCACTTTGGAAACCACCATAACCCATGCTTTTTGTAATAGGATACAGTAATGAACCTAAAGCTCATGTCTTTCTACTATTATCGCATCTGCAATAAAGACAGGAAGACTTCACTTCTGCTCTTCATTAGTTGCTTGTTGTTAATTACTTATAAAGCACCATCATTACATTGCACTTCATAATTAAAAGAACAACAAAGCAGCTCCCTGCCTGTAGGTCTACAACCTAATTAAGAAACAAAAGGAAAACGAATGGCAATGATGGAGTGGATCAAGTCCAGCAGGAACTATCTCTTCTTTCCCTCCAAGATTAGGGCAGTGGCAGCTGGGGTAGCAAGGTAGGCCTTTCCTATGCTTCTGGGCCTAAACATGATTCATTGTTTTATATGAACACAAACGACTTTGATCATTTTTATTATGCCTAGATGAAACACACCTGGTTCATAATTATGTAAAGCTGGCTTAGGGAAAATAAACAGCAGTTTTTTTGGGATTTAAACTAAACAACAAGCAGCCATTACCATATATACTCAAGTACAAGCTGACCCAAATATAAGCTGAGGTACCTAGTTTTATCACAAAAAACTGGGAAAACGTATTGGCTCAAGTATAAGCCGAGGGTGGGAAACACAGCAGCTAGTGGTAAATTTCAAAATAAAAATAGATACCAATAAAATTTACATTAATTGAGGCATCAGTAGGTTAAATGCTTTTGAATATTTACATATAACTAAAGATAAGACTGTCCAACTCTGATTAAACTATTATTCTAGCCTTCTTCAATGTAAATGTGCTTGCCTTATGAGCCCTCCCAATAATATTAAATAGTAAAATAATAAATGTAATAAAAAGAATGGAAATGTAATAATAGCAGCAACAGAGTAAAATAATACATAATAAAGTAAAATAATAAATGTAATAAGTAATAAATAGAGTAATAAATGTAATAATAATAAATAAATAGATAAATAATAAATGTAATAGAGTAAAATAATAAATGTAATAATAACAATAGAAAAAATAATAGTCAAATAATATACATTTAATAATAACAGTAAATAGAGTCAAATAATAAATGTAGCAATAATAATAATAATAATAATAACAGAGTAAAATAATAAATAACATTGACTCAAGTATAAGCTGAGGGGGGCTTTTTCAGCCTAAAAATAGAGCTGAAAAATACCACTTATATTCGAGTATATATGGTATTCAAGAATCATGCCTAAGTCCAGAAGCAAAATCTTCTGCCACCTTGCAGCCACTTTAGTAGAAAACTGATGGTGTACTAAATAAGACTGCAGAAGATGGACCTTAGAAATCGCCTTCCTTATGATCTGCAGTCTGTTGTGTCCCCCGTCCCCGTCCCCCCACCAAAGCAGGGGTACAAATGCCCAGTCAATCAAAAGTATAATTAGTCCTAAAATAACTGCTGTGGAAGAGAGAGAAAAACAAGTCATGCTGAAATAAAATCTACATTATATTCAGATTCCTCTCCCCGAGCAAAGATAGAAAGAATGTTAAAGCCTTTTCATTGACTTAATCAGTCTTGGCAAAGCCCCCAAAGCCAAGTAGAGAGCCCCCACCAACCTTTATTCTTAAATCACAGGTTACACCTTCAAAGTAAGGAAATAACTGAAAGAAATTACAATCAAGTATTTCCCTATAGATTAGAATAAAAATTAAAAAGGAGAAAAGTGCAAACCAGACAGGAATATTTTTTATTTAAAATTAACTCCTTTTCAACTATCACTTGATCTTTGGCTTCCAAATAGTGGTTTGTCTGAATCTCTAATCTATTCTGTAATAATTTGGGTTCTGAACATAACTGATTTTAGAGTGTAGTTGTAAGTTAAATTCAACAAGCTGGCATATTTCTGCCACTCTCTCTAACAAAAGCCAGAAAATAACAGCTGCTGAGATTTATCCCAGACTGTCAATTTTCATCAGTTAAGAACAAAACTCTTCTTGTTTCTTTTCCTGAAACCAACAGCTTAAGCTGCAAATACACTCATACACTTGTGGTACAAGTGGTTATATAAAAGACCTACACTTCCCACTCTCATTTTTTTAGTTTTAAAGGTGTCACTTAGTTCTCTTTTGTTAGTCAAATAAATGAGCAATGCTGGTACTTAAAATAAATTCTTTTTTTAAAAAGAAACATCAGTTTTATGCTTTTCTTCAGGCACTGACCTCAATGACAGTCTTGAGTTGGAAAACTCATGTAGTAAGCAAAAGTAAATCGTGCATTGGCATTCAGATGTTTCATTAGAACCCAAGTTGAACCCAAAGAAAGCCTGAACAGAAGGGAAATGTGGCTACAGACCTCACAACCTCTGAGGATGCCTGCCATAGATGCAGGCGAAACATCAGGAGACAATGCTTCTGGAACATGGCCATACAGCCCAAAAAACTTATAACAACCCAGCTACAGTAACTGCTCCACAAATGGCTGTACATGCTCCAAGGAAATCCGGATTTAGTTTCAGAGAAGTAATAGGGGAGATATAAAAGATTCCTTTCTTTAGCAGAAAACAATTACCACATGCAGAAGAAGAGCACTTTTGGATCTTACTCACCACTTTTAAAACACTTTTAATCTGAAAGGTGTGACTACACTTTATGACAGAGAGCACTTATGTGGAGGAGTCAACCTTAAGCTTAAATGGTTCTTTTAAACCAATGGTTCCCAACCCCTTTTTTTTTTTTTTTTACCAGGGAGCATTTTGACCAGGGACCACTCTCCAACATTACATTGAGTTACGAATCAGGTTTCGGTCAACTTTAGATTTTGTTTGGGATGCTGATTCAGAAGATTGCATTGGATAGACCACATCAGCTCTAATTTCTGATACAGAACATAAGTCATTGTCAGCAACAGGGAAGGAGCGGCAGGTGGTGTGAGAGGAGTGGAAATAAAATAAATAAAAATAAAATAAAGAGGAAGGAGGCTTGCAGACCAATTTTTTGTTCTTGCAGCCCACAGGTGGTCCGCAGCCCACAGGTTAAGAATCACTGTTTTAAACATATTTCTACAGTTTCATTAGCAAGAAAGGAGGGACAGACTAAGAGGAGAGAGAATCCATAATAGTTTAGGTTTTCAAATTTAAGAATTGTACCTCTTCCTCCTCCACCTGGAAGCACAGGTGAAAGTCTTAAGGGACCCTCCAATAAGGTTGGAGGGGAAAGAAAAGCTCTCGTTTCAGATGAAGGTCTGCCCAATGGTGAGGGTCCATATGGGGAATGCTCTGGAACAGTTAAAACAAAATACTAAAATTTACAAGGTTAGAGTTAATGGATGTATACTGTATTTAATACAACAAGTTCATGTCTTAGACCAGGTCTTAAGTTTAAAACTAACTTGGGGTACAAAACAAATCAATTAGTTGCCTTTATTGTGAGCTCTTCAATAAACAGCTAAGGAGGTCACTTTTAAGTAATCTTATGGAGTACTTCACACCTTCACTTAGGAAAAAAAGGAAGATAACACTGGGAATTAAGACAACATATGCAGTTGGGGCTATAACTCAATTTCATGCAAATGAAGTCCACATGCAAAAACAACCAGCTATGCCTTGACTTATAGTTTACTAAATGCAATCAAGATCTGTCTGCATTATAAGTAAGATAGATATGTATATTTGAAGTGGTCATTTACCTCTGCCAAATGGTCTAACTGGTACATCAAGAGCATAAGGGTCTTTTTCCAAAACATCATATTTAAATTCTGCTTCTGTTAATCTGAAGGAAAGAACAAATATTTAATATCCTCTGTGTTTATTTTTCTACAACTCAGTTGACTGATGAATGCAAGAAGTAAAATGAACTCAAATGATTTTCAAGCATTAATGGTTAAATCAGATGTTTAAAACATAAATAGCTTGATCAAAGGCTTGTTACACTAGAAACTAACAAACAGTTGAAATGCAATAGATACAATATGGCATCTTAAGCACAAATGAAAAGTATAGCCTACCCCCCCCCCCCCCCCCCCCCCCCCCATCCACTTCCATCTTTCTTTCTGGGATAGCCACTTCATCCTAAAGGGACAGGGATCCTCCATAACAGTATGGCACAGAGGGCTTTATCAGATGGGGAAAGGGATCAGCAGATGTCTCAATGGGGAGGTGTATGCAGGGAAAGGTGCACAATTTTTTGAAAGGTCTGGAAGCCAAGCCTTATGAGGAATGGCTTAGTGAGCTGAGTCTGTTTAGCTTGAAGAAGAGATGGTTAAGAGAGGACATGACAGCCATATTTAAATACGTGAAAGGATGTCACATTGAGGAAGAAGAAAGCTTGTCTTCTGCTCCTCCAGAGATTAAGACACAGAGCAAATGATTCAAAGTACAAGAAAATAAATTACACCTAAACATTAAGAAAACCTTCCTAATGGTAAGAGCAACTCCCTGACCAGTTAGACCAACCTGCAGCTTTACAGGTCCGCAAAAATTACATCAGGTCCCATTGTTGTCATTTCATGTAGGCAAAGGCACTCAATTATATTGGCTCTGTGACAAATAGGAAATCTTCAAGCCAATTTATTTAATTTAACTAATAGATGGGAGTAACTTTGAACCCAGGTGTCATGTTGTGGTAGAACAACAACACAAAACAGTAACACAAAATCATGCTTTTGGGGCATGAAAACCTGTCTGCTTACTTTTGTCTGTTGTGCAAATTTTCTTTTCTCAAATCATTGAGGTGTCTTTCAGCTGCCCGGGCTGTGAGCTATTAAAAAAGGAGGGGGGGGGGAAACCTTATCAAATGCTAATATTTCTTAAAGTACAAAATGCATGTGTAGTGGATGATCCTGGAGTGCTGGAAAACAATTACTAAATTTAAGGATAGGATTTAAGTGTGGCCTTAGGTACGCTTGCCCTGGCCTTCTGAATCATTATAATCTGTATGCATGTTAATTTCATTGTGGCTTATAAGGCCAGAGATGTAAATACATTAAAATTCCACAGCATTTTTAATCTGTACATGATACATACACTAGGAAAAAGGGATGTTAATTACAGTATCTCTGAACAAGAGTAGCTGCGAAATTCTAGCATGGCTGACCTCCATGTTTCATGGGTTGGGGCCATTGAAAGCAATAGGCCACACTCTTTATCAGGAGTAGCATGAGAAGCATAGAACAAAATAGCAATGGATGTATAAGACAGCACTGCTAACCAACCTTCTAGCCAAGGGAAAAAACCTCAAAAAATCTTATCTTGCATTATTCTAATGCAATTGAGTTTTGTTGAGAGAGTCAAATGGAATGCAAGGATTTGCTCATATAGCAATACCTTCTCAGCTGAATTACCTTTATGATCCCACTAAAACATTGTTTTCTTCTTGACTAGGAGATTGGTTGTGCAAATAACACTGAATGCAGTGCTGTTATCATAAGACAAGCTGACTACCAGTAGAAAAAAACCAGCAGAGAGCAGTCTGAACATTTTATTTAATTGGGGACAGACTGCTGCCGTTTGGCCTGGCGTTTGGCTGGGCCTTCCATTGTGCCGGCTTCTGGCGCACTGACCCTCAGCGCGCCTGCTTTCCATCGCATTCTCCATCGCATTCCTGTCGCCCGCCCAGCGTTCCAGCTTCGGCCCAGCTCCCTCGCACTCCCGGGATTAATCGGCCGCCATCACACGAGATTCCATCCTCGTCTGGTAACCATCAATTCCGGAAGACTGTGTTGGCCACCCCTTAGTTTGACTACTGCCATCTTTTGGCATCTCGTGGTTTTTAATTTTGGATAGATTGTGTTGACCATCGTTAATCCGTCTGTGTTGACCTCCTTTAATTGTGTGGACCACCTTTTTTGATTGTGCTGACCATCCTCATCTGTGTCGACCTCTTTTGACTGTGCTGACCATCTCTGATTGTACTGAACATCTTTCTGACTGTGCTGACTATCTGTATTGTGTGTATGCGGAACACCCCATTAGCGCTAACTCTAGAAGGACTGTGCTGTCCATTTTGTCACCTGATACATCTCTTGGGACAGCAATCTAAACTCCGAGAGGCGGGGGAGATCTTAACCATAGTAATTAACAACAACTATACTTAATGATTATCGGAGAATTCTAGAACTAATGGTGCACCGTTATTAAGTACAGTGGATATATATCCAGCGTGACTCTAGCACTTTACTTCATCAGCACCTTAACGTACTACCTTGGTGGTCCATTAATTTTACCGAGCCTTAGCACTTTAATCGACTCAACCATCTTGCACTGAATTTAAGTCCTCCATGACGCACTCCATTCGAGCACTTTAGAGCCACTTTAGAGCCAATTGACCAAGCTACTGCACTTTAATTATTTATACCATCGTGTATGTTGATACAATTATCTATCTGCACTTTAAGAACTCCTGCACTTTAAGAACTCCTTGACAGTGTTAATAGCTACCACCCATGTCACTACCCTTTCCCTGGCATCTGTTAATCTTGCTGCTAATTGTTTTTGGTAGAGAGAGGGAACGGAGTAGATTAGAAAGACCGGAGTTGAACATAATAGGAGCAGGAAATGAATGGAAGGCAGGACTATGGCATCCTGGAACTATAACATACCATACAGTCAACAATGAATTACGGGTGGATATTTTGGCTGCTGAATGCGTCATGGAGGAGGGAGAGGGTTCCGTTAACCGGGGAGCCCCCATAGAAGTCGTGGTGGGGAGGGGGAGATACGGGAAAAGGAGACCTTTAATTCGGCCTAGGGAACGTGGAACAACATTAGTAATCCCAAATCGGTCTCCTGATATGGTAAGTCGGTGTAACCAGGATGGCGGTCCCTCCGAATTGAAAGTGGTGCTGTTGAACGCCAGATCTGTCAACGGTAAAACAACTTTCATCCAGGATTTAATCCTGGATGAACGGGCAGATCTGGCGTGCATCACAGAGACCTGGTTGGACGAAGCGGGAGGTGTAAATTTAACCCAGCTTTGCCCACCACCGGGTTCTCTGTGCAGCACCAACCGAGATCCGGAGGGCGGGGAGGCGGGGTTGCAGTAGTCTATAGAGATTCCATTCTTCTGACCAGGGCCCCCATCCCGCAGTCAACAAATTTTGAATGCGTCCACCTGAGGGTGGGTGACCGGGACAGATTAGGGATTCTGTTAGTGTACCGTCCACCTCGCTGCACTACAGTCTCCCTGCCTGAGCTAGCGGGGGTGGTCTCGGACCTGGCGCTGGAGTCCCAACGGCTGCTTGTGCTGGGGGACTTCAATGTCCATGCCGAGGCCGCCTTATCGGGAGCGGCTCAGGACTTCATGTCTACCATGGCAACCATGGGGCTGTCCCAACAGGTATCTGGCCCCACCCACAGTGCTGGACATACATTGGACTTAGTTTTTTATCAGGGATGGGAGGAAGGTGGCGGTGTTGAGGAGTTATCCATCTCTCCGTTGCCATGGACCGACCACCACCTGGTCAGCTTTAGACTCACTGCACCCCCCAACCTCCGCAGAGGTGGAGAACCCATTAAGTTGGTCCGCCCCAGGAGGCTTATGGATCCGGATGGATTCCTGACGGCTCTTGGGGAATTTCCCGCCACCTCGGTTGGTGATCCTGTTGATGCTCTGGTCGCTCTCTGGAATGGGGAGATGACTAGGGCAATAGACACGATCGCTCCAGAACGTCCCCTCTCAAGTAGCCGAGCTAAACCAGCTCCTTGGTTCACCGAGGAGCTGGCAGCATTGAAGCGAAAGAAGAGGGAACTAGAGAGCGTGTGGCGTTCGGATCCGAGCGAGTCAAATCGAACACGGTTTGTGTCCTTTTTAAGGGCATATGCCGCGGCAATAAAAGCCGCAAAGAAGACTTTCTTCGCGGCCACTATTGCGTCTGCAAAGAACCGTCCGGCCGAACTGTTCCGAGTTGTCAGAGGCCTATTAAAACCCACCACTCAGGATGGGTGCCCTGATGACTCGGCAGCTCGCTGTGAAGCCTTTGCTCAGTTCTTTGCAGACAAAGTCGCTTTGATCCGCTCTGGACTGGATACCATATTAACGGCAGTCTCTGAGGATGTAACACGAGCATCTGCTTGTCCAGTTTTGATGGATTCATTTCAATTGGTTCAATCCGAGGATGTGGACAAGGTGCTTGGAGGAATGAGAGCTACCACATGCATCCTAGACCCCTGCCCATCCTGGCTTCTGAAGGAGGCCAGAGGGGGATTGGCCGAGTGGGTGAAGGTGGTGGTTAATGCCTCCCTTCGGGAAGGCAAAATTCCAGCCAGCTTAAAACAAGCTGTAATAAAACCGCTGTTGAAAAACCCATCACTGGACCCCACTCAATTTGTCAACTATCGGCCTGTTTCCAATCTCCCCTTTTTGGGCAAAGTCATGGAACGTGTGGTGGCCTCACAACTCCAGGCATTCTTGGTAGACACGGATTATCTAGATCCGGCACCGTCTGGCTTTAGGCCGGGGCATGGTACCGAGACGGCCTTGGTCGCCTTAGTGGATGATCTGCGTCGGGAGCTCGACAGGGGGAGTGTGTCCCTGTTGGTGCTGCTCGACCTCTCAGCGGCCTTCGATACCGTCGACCACGGTATCCTTCTGGGACGCCTCGCGGGGATGGGTCTTGGAGGTACTGTTCTGCAGTGGCTCCGCTCATTCCTCGAGGGTCAGTCTCAGAAGGTGTTACTGGGAGACTCCTGTTCAACCCCACAACCTTTGTCTTGTGGGGTTCCTCAGGGTTCAATACTGTCTCCCATGTTGTTTATCATTTATATGAAGCCGTTGGGAGAGATCATCTGGAGTTTTGGAGTTCAATGTCATCTGTACGCAGATGATGTTCAACTCTATCACTCCTTCCCACCTGCTACTAAGGAGGTTGTTCAGGTCCTGGACTGGTGCTTGGCAGCTGTGATGGTCTGGGTGAGAGTGAACAAATTGAAATTGAATCCAGACAAGACAGAGGTCCTCCTGGTCAGTCGCAAGGCCGAACAGGGCATAGGGTTACAGCCTGTGTTGGATGGGGTTGCACTCCCCCTGAAGACGCAGGTTCGCAGCTTGGGTGTGATCCTGGACTCATCGCTGAGCCTGGAACCCCAGGTTTCGGCGGTGACCAGGGGAGCATTTGCACAGTTAAAACTTGTGCGCCAGCTGCGCCCGTACCTTGGAAAGTCTGACTTGGCCACGGTAGTCCACGCTCTGGTTACATCCCGTTTAGACTACTGCAACGCTCTCTACGTGGGGTTGCCTTTGAAGACGGCCCGGAAGCTCCAATTGGTCCAACGTGCGGCAGCCATGATACTAACAGGAGCGGGACACAGGGAGCATACAACCCCCCCTCTGCTGCACCAGCTCCGCTGGCTGCCGATTTGCTACCGGGCTCAATTCAAAGTGCTGGCGTTGGCCTTTAAAGCCCTAAACGGTTCTGGCCCAACTTATCTATCCGAACGTATCTCAGCCTATCAGCCCACCAGGACCCTAAGATCTTCTGGGGAGTCCCTGCTCTCTATCCCGCCGGCTTCACAAGTGCGGCTGGTGGGAACGAGAGACAGGGCCTTTTCTGTGGTGGCCCCTCGGCTTTGGAACACCCTCCCCATAGAGGTACGATCAGCCCCTTCGCTGATGGTGTTTCGGAAAAGATTGAAGACATGGATGTTTAAACAAGCATTCGGTTAATCCGTTGCAACGAATTTTGATGACTAAAGGATGGGTAATCATGGACGACGAATTTTGGATTGCGATTTCAGTTACGAGATGCATGGGATTGTTATTGGTGGCCCAATAACTAGTATTGTATATGTGTTTTATGCTTTTAAATTGAATATTGTTTTTTAACTGTTGTAAACCGCAATGAGTCGCCGATTTAGGCTGAGATATTAGCGGTATACAAGCGCATTAATAAATAATAAATAAATAAATAAATAAAAACATTTATTAAACTGGCACTGAAACAAAGCCAGATGAGATTAAAGGATTTATTTTTTACAAGAAGAGATTCTGAAAGACATGATTCACAAGGGAATGTGTACTCTATATGCTGTGCTACTCAAAGTGATGATCCGTGGACCAGTGCCAGTCTCCAAGCCATCTGCTGCCGGTTCCTGGAGAGCTTCCAACAAAGGAACAAGCAATTGTAGCCAATGAACACACGTGTGATACCAGTTCCGGTATCATACTGCTCTATAGCATCCAGTTGAATGGCTGCTTCTTGATAAAAAAGTGTACACTTCAGAAGTAGAGCTATCTAGATTTACTGCTTTTAAGCTCATTATTTTTTACTGGCACTAATTTAAAATGACCTTTTCCATGAATCTCCAGTTCTGTAGTAAATGCTGTGAAAAAACTGGTTCCTTTTTCCATTCTTGCTCTGTCTTAAAACACCTTCTGAAATACTCCTGAACATTACATGGAGCTCTGCAATCGCTTATACAGTCTTTGCACAAGGACAAATAATCAACAGCACCAGAATTTTAGAGATTATTTTAGCAAATGAATGTAACAAATGACAAATAGAATCTATACTCTATTAAAAACTACTATTTGTCCAGGATATTATTTAAGATGATAACCCAGAGTGGACAGCAGAATCCATGTGCATATCTTGATTTGCAGACATCTCCTAAAATTCCTTTCTAGTTTGGCCAGCAGATCAGCTAAATTTGAGTTAAATGTAGTTTTTATGTTCTTTTGGGACAGTTAAAAGGGCAGACAGGCAAATGTACATCATAAAAATCTAGGCGACCTCATAGATGTCAGGTGTACTGCACCATCTGACATTTGTCGGGAAGTAGCCGCCAATGAAAGGACTAAGTCAGTGACATCTCCGGCCCATCCTCTGTTCGGATATCAGCCAGCACGCCAATGCCTTATATCAAGAAATAGTTTCCTAGGATCGACAGAGATACTCACAGGAATACCTCAGCAAGCAAGAATCCAAAAGTGGCAGGCTATAAACCAGAACCTCAATCAGTGGCTGAGACCGGATGAGAAATTCCCTCCTGGTCACACAGAAAATTGGGCAACCTGGAAGATGCTGAACAGGCTAAACTCTGGCACCACAAGATGCTGAGCTAACCTTAAGAACTGGGGCTACAAAGTGGAGTCCACGACATGCAAGTGCAGAGAAGAGCAAACCATAAACCACCTACTACAATTCAACCTGAGCCCTGTCACATGAACAATGGAGGACCTTCTCACAGCAACACCAGAGGTACTCCAAGTGGCCAGCTTCTGGTCAAAGGACAATTAACATAATGCCAAGTTTAACTTTGTGTTTTTAAATATTTTAACTGTAACCTCAACTTGCTTTTGACACAATAAATAAAAATAAATGTGCTCTATTCCACTGTAAAAACAGCTGATGCTAGTGTGCACCATGGTTTTCAAATGAAGAGAACCATTTTAATATTCGTAACCTACCCAATTATCATGAGCCTTCTTCTCGTGAGACATAATCTGTTAAAAGAGAAATTACTCATCAGTTCAGAAACACACTTAAAAAATAGTTCAACCATCATTAACAATACAGGCAGTCCCCAAGTTACAGATATCTAACTTACAAATGACTCATAGTTAAGAACGGGGGTGAGACAACAGGAAGTGAGAAAAATCTACTCCTTGGAAGGGAAATTCACTCCTGAAAGAGTTGTCATGGGGAAAAGGTGTCTCCACTGAAGCTTTCTCAACTAATCCTTGTTTCTACAATAATTTTTCAAAATCCAATTATCACAGGGACAGAAAGTGATGTGAAATCTTCTGAACAGGGGCTCAGATAGAAAAACAAGCACCACAGACATGTTCACCCTTCCCTATGTGATCCAAAGGCTGGAATTACTTAAAATGTACCTGTTCAGACTTACATACAAATGGAACTTAAGAACAAACCTACAGAAGCTATCTTGCTCGTAACTTGGAAAACCATAGTAGTACATTTCATTCCCCTTTTTGTGTCTTTATAGTATTATTATTATGGTGGTGGTGGTTGTTGTTAAATAATTAATAATCATAATCATAATTAGATACACAACAATATTGGTACACAGCAGACAAGATTGCTATGCTGGCTTGTATTGTATTGGATCACACGTCAGACACTTCCCAAGTGTCTAGGACTATGTGATGTATCTGCGAATAATGCATGCAGATCTGAGTAGGGTGGCCTTGTGTAGCTGACAGATGGAAATTTTTCAGCGCTGATTATTTTTAAGTGCTGGCCAAGGTCTTTAGGCACTTCACCCAGTGTGCTGATCACCACTGGGACCACCTTTACTGGCTTGTGACAGTCTTTGCAGTTCGATCTTTAAATCCTCATATCATGTAAGATTATTATTATTATTATATTTATTTTCAAGTGCTGACCAAGGTCTTTAGGTACTTCACCCAGTGTGCTGATCACCACCAAAGAGAGAGATATACAAATATGCAAACATTAAACAGAATTTCACACAAACAGCACTATTATCCTCTGCCTTTTCCTATTTATCCATTCCATGGTGCTCTCTTAGCTGGTTCCCTTCGTATACCTATAGCCCTTACTTCAACTCTTCTTTTCTTTTAGGCCATAGGTTTTGCACACCATGTGGTCCTATTTTTCTTTCTATTCTCTTCTCATTCCCGCACTTTTTCTGTCTCTTTCTTCTCTTAGCCTTTATCCTCTACTTTTCTGTGTCAATTACTTTCCAGATATCTATACCAGCCAAAGACTCACAGGCACAGGTGGCCAAATGCAGTGTGGCCAGATAAAAGTGTGCCAGCTTCACAGAATACCTCTACATTGAGGGAAAAGAAAACTGAGCTTGAAAGAGTACTTCGACAATGTAATTAATTATAGATACAGTTGCAACTGTACAGTGTTACAACTCATCTAAAGTTGTAATAACACTTGCAAAGGTTCTGAAAAGTAATTATTACAACTCACATAAAGTTGTAATAACACATGCAAATGTAATGATAAGTAACTAGTTATTGAAATAGGTATATATGATTAAATGTAATGATTTACTTTCTCATTTTTCGAAAGTAAATTCTGCTTTATAGGGCAAAAACAGTGAAGTTATGTTTCATCACATTAGAATCACGGCAGAACTGATTACACATTTATTATTGGGGGAGTAAAAAAAATCCAAATAAAGTATTATTTGTAACCAGCTGTTTTAAAGCTCTGAGAGGAATGCTCATGTAGTGGCACAATTCTTCTATCCCCAATTTTTATGAACGGCGCAAACACCGAATGCCTCCACAAGGAGTCTGAAAAGGCATGCTTTGATAAAAATCTAGATACATACCATCTTAAATACTAAACATATGACAAGGTCGATAAATGCCTTAAAGGTTGTGAGTACATAATTGCTCCTTATAATTAAGTGAAGATATGTTGTCAGCAGAAAACAATATTCAAGGTTGCAATTCTATTTACACTTATCTGGGAGCAAATTTCACTGATGTCTATGGAATTGTAATTCTTACTGAACATGTATAGGATCATGCTGTAATACTGAAATCCCAAATGGATGTTCTTTGAAATAAATCAGACTGGTACCAATAGGAATACAGGTTGTAGATGAGAACTTTCAAGCCAATAGCGTTATCAACTGTACATGAAGTGCCAATTAAAAAAGCAATATACATATACCTGATTCTGGTAAGAGCGCACAGTTCGTTCCAGTTCTTCTTCTAAATCTTTTGCTTGCTGTCTATAATGGAATACAGAACAAGGATAATATCAACACCAAGTCTTACCATGAAATTTCTACAACATGCCACTTTTCTTAATTAATTGCAAATAACGTTGTTATGCATGATATCAAAAAGCAGAACAGAAGCTACAGATTATAAACCGTTCCCTTTTTCCGATTCCTGTGAAGGAAAGAGGACAAGAACTGGATGGCGCTTCTCGTCTCTCTGATATGAAATGAATGCTTAATAGTCTACTTTGGCTGAAATGGCCTTGTTGTGGAGCAAACGGAAAAGGTAAACCATTGAAAAATAACCTTTTCCACCACAGAGAAAGAACATTCCAGTACTCAACACTGTGACAATGAGTCTGGACAATGTTTTTAACAAGGAGACACTATGAATTTATATTTCATTGATTTCTTTAGTTTTTATTATATGTTATGTTTTTAATTGTATTTATGACATTGTAAGCATTGAATTTTGCCCTGTTATCACCTTGAGTTGCCTACGGGCTGAGAAAGGCAGCATACAAATACAGTAAATACATAAATAAATATTCAGTCTAGTTGCTGGCACTGAAGATTCAATCATTTTGAAGCTCTCTGCTGCTTTTTAGAGCATTTTGGTGAAGGAATGGTTTATGGCCTGAAGCTAGAGAAATAGGACTCCATGCTTGCAACAGAACTTTCATAGTCCCTCTCTCAACTGCATCTCTCTGTTTTTAGGATACAGAAGAAACAGTAGCAAAATAAGGAAACCGACAGAATTTATGGGGCTGTTTGAAGTACTAGAATTACTTCCCATCATCCAAGGCATCAATTGAATTCATACTGTAATATTTACTGAGCAACTTCATGGTTCCCTGGTGCATATTCCCAGCCCACTCCTGGCAACTTTAGTGGAATTAACCTAAATATGGAGCCACACTATCTTAATGGCTGGAATACTCAAACTTGACAATATCTTATCCTGTGTTTTTATTCCACAAATTTCACATTGTTTGGTCCAATTCTTGAATTTATCATAGAATCATACAGTTAAAAAAGACCTCGTGGGCAATCCAGCCCAACCCCCTGCCAAGAAGCCTGAAAATCACATTCAAAGCATCCCCGACAGTTGTCCATCCAGCCTCTGCTTAAAAGCCTCCAAAGAAGGCGCTATCTTGACTCCAAATTTATTGCATTCAATAAATAAAAATACAAACATAATCTTTCATTACCGATAAGTATTTAGTTCTTCAGCAGCATGAATTATCTTCTCATCAGCTTTGGAAAGTTTCTCTTCTTTTTGCAAACGCTGTCTTTCCTCTACAGTCAACTTCCTTTAATAAAAAAGCCCTTGATGAGCCACAACTCAGTTAACTTTGGACTTTTCTTAAGAAAATCATGACCTGAAGTTATTTTTGCAAATCAAATACTCAAGAATATAGAACATTATTTTATATGTTTTATATGGGGCCGCGGTGGCGCAGTGGGTTAAACGGCTAAGCTGCAGAACTTGCTGACTAGAAGGTTGGCGGATCGAATCCACAGGACGGGGTGAGCTCCCGTTGTTAGCCCCAGCTTCTGTCAACCTAGCAGTTCGAAAACATGCAAATGTGATTAGATCAATAGGTACCACTTCAGTGAGAAGGTAACAGCACTCAATGCAGTCATGTCGACCACATTATCTTGGAAACGTCAATAGGCAATGTCGGCTCTTCAGCTTAGAAATAGAGATGAGCACCACCACCCAGAGTCAGATTCAACCAGACTTAATGTCAAGGGGAAGCCTTTACCCTTATATGTGGTTTTATATGTTTTTATTGATTTAATCTGATTTTTTTAACCTAATGATGTTCAATGCTGTTTTAATATTTGTATATTTGTATATTGGAACTGTATTGTAATGCTTTTAATGTTAGCCGCTTTAAGTCTCCTTATGGAGAGAAAAAGCGGGATATAATAAACATAATAATAATATAAATAATAAGTAAAAGTTGCCAATATAAACTGATCTCTTACTGTAATAAACATTTGTAACAGTAATTAGGAAGTAAGATCCTCACATGAAAAAATGGAATTCTGTTCCCCTAACTTAGAGGCAAAACTACTAAAAATGCAGAGTTGGTCTATAAGAGAATTTGTTCCATCTATTCAATTTCGATGTACTGAAATATCACTATTCTGAGACACGTTTACATGCACCACAACTAATGACGATGGTGGGACTAAGACAGAAAATCTGGCCTCTCTTCCTCCCAGAAGCTGCTATTATGATAATAAGGGGGGCTTTTATTATCATTATGATAATAATAAAGGGAATCCCATATGGAGGAACAAAACTATACAGACAGTAACTATTCACAAACATCCACAGACAAAGGCTCTTTATATATTCTAGACCACACAATGTGGTCACGCTTAGGGAAGATATGATCACAGAACTCCAGTGCCCAGAACTTTATGCCTTACATCACCAATGCAATGTCCCTGAGTGACAAGATGATCGCAAACACTTCTGTTGGTGTCCACACAGTTTGCTCCCAGTTTGGCCACTCCTATACCACTCACCAACCTTAACAAACAGGGGTTGGAATGTTCTAGAAAATGGTAAAGTAAAGCTGCCTTCTCTTCATTGTGCTTCATCACGAGCTTTCATCATCAGGTCATGCTATATAATAACATGACCAACAGTAAAATTCCTACTGTACATCTCATACTAAACACTTGTAAAAACAGGAGGAGCGCTGCAAATGGATCCAAAAGTAGAATCCATTGGGTTTGTTTGGTGCTGAACTGTTCATGCTGAGATTCTGCTACAAACTTCCCAGGAAAGAGGGAGAAAAAGGAGAGGCCATTTCTGATTTTTAACAATTGTAGGAAAGAAAAAATTTTAAGGAAATTTGCCCTTCAAAAATAAAGAGATGTTTATCACATACTAGCTACCTTGTCAATCACAAGGAATTTTGGGAGGGGAAAAGGGACAGACACTCAACTAACTGCAAAAAAAGAGAAAAAAGACCTTTAGAAGCCGAGAGACAAAAATGTGCCATAGACTCTGTAAGTACTCTCATTTTCCAAATGAAGAAAAAAGCTAAGGTGCCAATTAGCCCAAGATTGCATTAATAAATGAGTTCCTGTGCAGCAAAGAGAAACAGTAAAACTAATTATTTTATTTGAATCTTCTACTTTTGATCTTTGTTTACTTCCCTCTCTCCTCTACAAACAAGTATTTTCTTTCCTAAATTAAGAGACAGAGAGAGAGGTTCTGCAGACCAGCACACAGAAAAGGGTTATCTTGGCACATTTCTTGCAAATTTCCATTGGAGCAACTATTCTCAGGAAAAGGTGAGGAGTGCAAGGCAATCATGTGGTAGGGGAAAAGGATACCATCAATTTTGTGGGTTAAGGTAAAGGTTTCCCCCTGACATTAAGTCTAGGGGTTGTGCTCATCTCCATGTGCAGGCTGAAGAGACTGCATTGTCCTTAAATGCCTCCTAGGTCATATGGCCAGCATGACTGCATGGAGCACCGTTACCTTCCTGCTGAAGCAGTACCTATTGATCTACTTACATTTACATGTTTTTGAACTGCTAGGTTGCCAAAAGCTGGGGCTAACAGCGGAAGTTCATCTCACTCCCTGGATTTGAACCGCTGACCTTTCGATCAGCAAGTTCAGCAGCTCAGTGGTTTCACCCACTTTACCACCAGGGGCTCCATGTTTGTGGCTAGCCCATTTCAAAATAAAATGAATATTACATAATAGAATGGTTTCAAAGAAAGCAGGAATACAGATTCTGTTAGGCTACTAATTAAACAATGAATGAATAACTATTCATTAAGCAAATGAATCTACTGTTACTAATACCTGTGAAGATTCATTTCGTTTTCTTGGTACAGCTCTGACATGACTTTAAGCTTTTGCTGAAGCTTCTGAACTTCACTTTCAAAGTGTGCATTTTCAGACTGCAATGTGCAATGTTCCTTTTGCAAATTTTCAATACGTTCTGTTACAAAGAAAAAGGATTACAACCAACCAGCAATTTAACGTAGATAAAGATAAATCATGTTGAATCATGTTTTTCCACACCGAAAAGAAACAAATTGTCTAGACTGAATTTAAGTAGACTTAAAATATTCATGGTGATCTTTAAAGTCTCCAGACAATTAGGGGTGTGTGTGTTTTTGTTTGTTTTACTAATTTCACGGGTGGGAACCAAGAGCTATATAGCAACAGACACCACATGAAACAGACATTTTTCTTTTAATATTGATGACACAAAAAACAATGCTAAGGATATTTCAACTAAGAAGCTCAAACAGCAATCAATTAAAATGATAGTGATAATGATAGGTGCAAATCTACTTTCCACTCATGTCTATTTCAAAATGTACTCTCCGGTGAGGGGAGCCCGAGATGCACAGAAACAGCCATAAGCTGTTATAATCATATCATATCTCAATTTGTCTCAATTTGATGAATAATTTCAGCTCATGCAATATTTTTGTAATTAGCTAAAGTACATAAGCACCTATTTTTCAAAAATCTGAATTAACTTCATGTTATTATTTCATTCGTGGCACAAGGGTTAAACCTTTGTGCTGGCAGGACTGCTGACTGAAATCTAGAGAGTGGGGTGAGCTCCTGTCTGTCAGCTCCAGCTTCCCATGCTGGGTCATGAGAGAAGCCTCCCATAGGATGGTAAAACACCCAGGTGTCCCCTGGGCAACATCCTTGCAGATGGCCAATTCTCTCACACCAGAAGCGACTTGCAGTTTTTCAAGTCGCTCATGACACAAAAAACACCCGCTCATTTTTTTAAAAAAACAGCATTTTAAATTATATAAAAAAACGAAATTACCTGCAAGTTCCTCTTTTGCTTTGTTTTCATCAGTTAGTTTTGAATACATTTGATTTCTTTCTGTTTCCATGGATTTTAAACAAGCATTCAACTATATTGAAGAATGAAAAAAAGACAAAACAATTTAAGATTGTGATTGAAAAAGTGACTCCTGATGCATGCCCAAAATAAGTCTCTATTTAATTCTGGGTCGCCACTCTGAACAAATCTTGCCACCACCCCCCACAGTGATAGGTTCATTTTAGGGTCAGAAACAAGTCAAAGGTACAGAACATGAAGAAACTAGTCATATTAAGTTGATAATCTGTGTAGTGCTCATCAACGTAAAAATATTCCCATGGTAACTAACAAAATATAGTGTTCATGCACTAAACAGGTGTGCTGATAAGGCTGTTTTTAAAGGGCAGTATAAACAAATGAATACTGGCTGATTAATTACCTTTGCAGCGTAAATCAGTTTTTTTATGGTTCGTTTTTCTTGGTCATCTGATAAAATAAACAAAGAGGGAAAAGAAGAAAAAACAGTAAATCACCAAAAAAAAAGTCTCACTCTTGGTATTATGTAAAGCACTTACGACTTTTAAAGAGTAATTCCCAAAAGCAGGCTAAAAAAAAGCCAGAGTAAGAGTGGAGCAGGGAGAACAGGTAAATAATTAACCTGATCAAGCTTCAAAGAATCATTCCAATTTCTGAAATGGATGTGATATGCTTAGCAATTCAATTAGAGAGGCATCTCCTCAGGATTAAAGCCCCGACCTTTTTGTGTAGGCTGCTTATCCACAAGTTAAGGACAAGAATGAGCAGTTGTCAAACCGGTTTGTGTTCTGGTGAGTTATGCAAGTGTGGGGGCGAGCATAATTGTAAGGATTTGGGAGTTTTGTTCTTTTTAAAAGGAAACTTCTATCAGCAACATTCATTCTGAACATGTTGTTAATAGCAGTGAGAAGTCCAGGACACAGCAGTATAAACCTTAAATGAAAACACATCTCATTTATGAAATGATACAATCTACAAACAGTCATGACATAATCTTATTTGAATTCCCATTTGTTGATAAAGGCATACAGTGTGACACCCACTTCCCCTGTATCATTTATACACATCTGACAAAATATGTCATCTCTAGGAATTTTCTAGGTCCTCCAGAGTGACTTTATGGTACTCTTGGCCCAGAAATCTTTCATTTTAATAGAGTTCATCATTATCCACAGTGCTCCATATCCATACAATGCCTGGGAATATATTCCCCATGGATACAGGGATTGTACTATATTTATAAAGACAGCAAGCTTCATCATTAGACTTTGGAGCAACAATCATTTTTCTTCTTGTTTACACAATAGGTATGTTAGCCTTTACCTAAATGTTCCCCATTTTCTCTTTCACATTTTATATCATTCCCCCAGTGACTGTCTTCAGCATCTTCATGCTCCCCGATGGCACAGCTCCAATCCTTCATCTTCAACAAGCACTCAGTCAGTGACTGTATAATATTGAAAAGAAGGGAAAATAGAAATTACATTTTTACTTTATTTACTTTATAAAAAACAAATTAAATATTTTATTGGGTTGTTGTAGGTTTTTTTGGGCTATATGGCCATGTTCTAGAAGCATTCTCTCCTGACGTTTCACCTGTATCTATGGCAAGCATCCTCAGAGGTTGTGAGGTCACAACCTCTGAGGATGCTTGCCATAGATGCAGGTGAAACATACCCACCCTTTCCTACACCCAGCACTCCAAATCTGAGTTTATTAATAGGTTTATTCATCTTTGACAGTCACTTGCATCTTTGTGAAAACCTGCTGGAACATGTTCTAAGAACTTTGGAAGGGTGATGACAGATTTCTCAAGAAATCAAAGACATTTCATTGCCACACTTTTGTTTTGCCAAAATGCCTGTAGCTTCTTTATGAATTAGCTTACCTGTTCATATGTAATATTTTAGAAGGGGCAAATGACAAAATATATGGAGGGAATATAACTGCTCAGATGATTAAAAAAGGGTCCAGCAAGGCACCAAACATGCCAAAACCTGTCATTTTCCTTTCTTTGGTTTTGGAACAGTGCAGGTCACTCCCTTGTGAATCAAGGAAGCTACAGAGTAAACACAGCACCAAGGAGTCTCATCCAGACTGGAGAGTGGCACCTGTATTCCTCAAAGATTACAATGGGAGCTGTTGATGCTGAGTGGCAGGATCTGAGAGCACACCCAGGGATAATTTGAGGGGGGGGGGGGAATAAGAAACACACATAAGATATACACTTATTCTACTACGTCTATGGACTTCCTCCTCCTGGATTTGGGCACCCTAACTGCCATTTTAAAGTATACTGTATTGAGCACTTTTGTTTCTACATATGAAGAGAATGCTGCCTACTGATCACATCAGACATGCAGATATATCTACATGAATAACTCATAGAAAGATCCACAGTAATTTGATCCTCTGTACCAGAGATCTTTCAGCCATGTCAGCACATATCACAACAGTTTTCTATTTTACTGTACCTCTAAAGAGCATTGCATTTAAGTAGGATAAAACTGGTCAAACCCTACTAGAAACTTCAACATTGTATCACACATGGATAACAAAGGGTCAAATCTAATGCTATCTTGGTCTACTGCAAGCCCACTGAATCTGCTCTAAAAGTCTGTGGATCTCTCTGGAGCAGATATGGGGAGAGTTATGAGGACTCTTCCTGAGTTAACTGAAATCCTTTTGCAAAGATAGCACCCAAAATGAGCTACTAGAATAGCTGAAATAGGCTATTGGCAGTCAATATTGTTCTAACAGTGCTCTCACCTTGACTTGACTTTCCTTGTTTTTAAGAGCTTCTTCCATATCTGCTTTAGAACACTGAAATATTTTTGTTTGCTCATTTAATTCACTAAATCGTTCACCCCATCCTTCTGCTTCTTGTAATAGCTGGAATGAAAATTTTGCAAGATTAGAACTTGATAACAATTTATATAATTAAATCACAATACAATACAATAACTTCTACATTTTAAGAAAAACCTGAACTAGAAGAAGACAAAATGGAACCAAAAAGTCATGTGCAGGCCTCAAAGCTGTTTTTGCAGTTCTTGATGACTCTCAGACTCAACCTTGATGATGCTTACTACTACTACGGTATCATTATCATCATCCCAACTTTCTCCCAGATTGGAACTAAGAGGCAACTTTCAAATTAAGATGACTGCAATGATGTTAACAAGCTACACATGGTAAAAGTAAAGGTTTCCCCTGACATTTATTCTAGTTGTGTCCAAAACTGGGGGCTGGTGCTCATCTCCATTTCTAAGCCAAAGAGCCAGCATTGTTCGTGACACCTCCAAGGTAATGTGGCCAGCATGACTGCATGGAGCATTGTTACCTTCCTGCGGGAGCGATACCTATTGATCTACTCACATTTGCATGTTTTTGAACTGTTAGGTTGACAGAAGCTGGGGCTAACAGCAGGAGCTCAGCCCGCTCCCCGAATTCAAACCGCCAACCTTTCGGTCAGCAAGTTCTGCAGCTCAGCAGTTAAACCCGCTGCACCACCAGGGGGCCCATACACAAAATCAACATCAAAATAGGATTAAACTATTAACAATATTAAAACAATTAAAATATACATTTAAAAATGATAAAAATGTTTAAAACTGTACTTTTTAAAACAATATAGCCAGCTCTTGAAAGCCTTTAAAGGTCTTCAGTTTTTAAATCCCATCAGAATGAAAAAAAAACTTCTACTTGCACTTAACATCACTAAAACATCCATCTTTTTAAGTCAAATGTTAGCTTTCAGTCAATTTTATCACCTCTCTCCAACTACTCCCAGATTTTCTGGTAAAGTGTGCAATTTCCACAAGGCACCAGATAAAGAAAATTGAATCCTGGACTTGCTGAGAGTTGACAATTGGATCATGGAGCTTAGACTATATAGCACATTAAAACCAAACACCAAATGCCTTGGTATTTAAAACTTTATGAATTATGTTAAATGAAAAAAAACCTTTTTATATAAAATTATCCTAAATCAAGCAGTGGCAAAACATCTACCTGCTTTTGACTTTCTTGAAGGTGATTGTTTTCTTCTAAGGCATCTTGGACAGAGGTCTTCAGCCTCTCTCTGTTGATCTCATACACTTTCAAAGTGGTCTTGGCCTAAATGAAATGCAATGAAATGAAACTCCTCATATGGCAATGTATGTTCTTGAAATCTCCTTTCTCATGTAAAAGATCATTCAAAGTCTATTATGAAGGCACTGCTGAAGATTTCCTTCGACGTTCTGCATGTCTTAGCACAGCACTCTACTTTCATGAGGTTGTGTCAAATTATTTCTTTACTTTTGGAAGAGAATTGAGCAACTCACATAATGTAACAGAAGAGTGTCCTTGACTTGGAATCATTTGTATTACTGAACCACTATCAAATTGCTCTAAAATCCCAAGTTACTGTCAAAATAATAGAGATATCTTCATTTGCTACAGAGAATCCATAATCCCTATATGTGGAAAAGTGTCCACATACAGGAAGACATGTAAGACATATTTAGACCAATTTAAAAGGTTGATAATCGGGTGCCAGACTTATAGTGCCAGACTAATATAAAAGTCATCAAAGCAAATTAAAAGATTGACTTACTTCAGCTACTTGCGACTGTATAGATTTTGCTTCATTTTCTAAAAATTCCACTTTTCTCTGTATTTCAGTCATCTAGAAAAATGTTAAATATATGCTTTATAAACGCTCCTTGAGTCTAGTTGACGGTTTATCTTTGGAAGAACTCACTTAAATCATTTCATTTTCAATTACTATTGTTGGAATCATGAAATGGCGAACAGCATTTGTGAATTATTTATTTTGAATGGCTTTAACTATGCATAATAAAGCAAAATTAAACACTCATTCAATTGCATGGGGTTAAGGAATAAATCCTTCTAGCTATATAGCTAGCCAGTCAATCAAACCATTCAGTGATACCTAGGCACAACCTGAGCATGCAGGAAAACAAATACATGACTTGAGAAGAAGTATCACTGAATTCAGGAAGGTTCGTTTCTCATGTTTAGGGATAAACCAAACACCAGCCATCTATCGGGGTTGCTTTGAATGAAATTTTCCTGCTTCTTTGCAGGGGGTTGGCTAGATGGCCCACGAGATCTCTTCCAACTCAATGATTCTAAACTAGATTTAATTATGCTGATAACAAATCATATCCGGGTGAATCTCCCAGACACACTCAACAACACATGCAATATTATTATACTTCTTGACTGAGCAAAATGAGTTTTAATGAAACACATACCAAGTCATCCTGTTCTGATCGTTTAGACTTTTCTTCTCTCACTTCTTTCTCTAATAATGCTATTTCATTTTTGAGTACAGAGTTTGAGCTGTTCAGTTCTTCATATGCTTTCTGAAATTAGGAAGTTTAGAAAGACATTTACCGGCATTTACAACTACACAACATAATCTGAAGAAATATTAGCAGCCGTTATATAGACAAAGTGGATTAGGATATATCTATCACATCAAAATTTGAATGATTTGCACAATCAGGGAATGCGGATACTCTACGTTTTAAGAATCCATGCCTAGAGCAGTGAACCAACAAAAATAAATCATACAAATTAATGTATCACATTTCCTTATTTGTTTTTGATATCCATGGTAATAACCCACTCCTTGCACACTCACAGGTTTCCTCTTCCTTTGTTTTGAAATTGCTCCAAACATTTTCTATATTTTGTTGAAATCTCTCTTAAGAAAACATTTTTTTTAAACTGAGATTAAGAAGATTCAAAATCTGCATGAGTATTGTAACTTGAGTATTGTGTATAACCACGGGATCTTAACAACCAATGAGTTTATTTTATTTATTTCATTTAGTAAATAGGCACTTTATAAACAGCCACAACAAATTTATATAAGTCTGTAAGTCAGAACATCTATCTTTGGGAATAAGTCCAATTGAACAAAACGGAATGATCAATAAGGAAACATAATTTCAGATAATAAAGCAGTAATTCTGATTACTGATTACTACATATAAATATTTCAACATTTAACTTCTACCTTAAGATCTGATGTAGCTGTGGATCCCTGAAAAAAGCTGGCATCTTTTAGGGAGTTTTCTAACTCTTCATACTGAAATAAAAACACCAGATTAAGATCAGAACAAAAACACAACACAACAGAACAAAACACAATGAAAAGCTATCAACTAATTTCATCTTTTTAATCAAAACCAGTAAATTTTCCACATGAGAAGCAAGTATAGTACAATACATTAATACATAATACTGATATTGTGCTGTGCTAATATATTATATGGTATATACATATAATATTGATAATATTATAATGTAATACAATATTATACTAATAACACAATATAATAATTATACATTTTATATTACATGTAATATTACTAATAATAATATTACAGTATAGTGGTATAGTACAATATAGTAATATTGTGCTATGGTAATAATATAATATATTGTATTTACTTTTTACTTGTAAGCCGCTCTGAGTCCCCTTCGGGGTGAGAAGGGCAGGATATAAATATCATAAGTAAATAAATTTATCAAATTACATTAACGTATATAAGTGGTTTGGAAGGAAATGTTGAAACATACCAATCAGAGAAAAAGGGAAGGAATGTTCACATTTTAAACAGTTGTTAATCTTAAGAGAGATCTAGCAACTATGTGGCAATTTTGTCAGTGACATCCTGGATATGTGTGCCAGTAAATGGCAGAAACACAAAAATGGAGGTGCTGAAGCATGTACAATCATACTGTCACTATTTAATGTTATGGGGTATGATTGTCTATGTTTTTTCATATATGCACAGACGAAGGGGTGTCCAAGAACCATACTCCGATGAATATGGCAGGCCAACTATACATTTATCCAAAACAAAGCTCCACTGAATACAATGGTATTTACTTGTGAGTGAACAGGCACAAGGCTAAGCTGTACAAATACTATGTGAACCAAAATATAAAATTCAAGGAATCTTAAAATTAATGCGGAAGACTTAAAACCCAGCAGTAAACAATAAAATATAATCTAAAAAGATCTGTAATAATCCAAATTACCTCTTTTTTGCAGCGACTGAATTTTTCCAGTACTTTACATTTGTCTTCAACTAGTTCAACAACTTTACTAGCTAACTGTTTCTCCTTTCCTAAAAAAAAAAAGAGCTATATGTAGTAACTAACAGAGAAAAATGACTTCGGCTAGAATAAAGCCAGATAAAATGTTGAACTCACCCACATAAAGTCTACTTCTAATCTGCAAAAGAAGAATAAATATTGCAATTGGTTTACAGCATTACATGTGAATGAATTTCAGGTTTCTATCATAAGGGAAGATGAAAGTAGAATAATAGTCAATAGGAAATTGAATTCTAGGGCCAAGGGAAACATAACGTCAGACCTTTCCTCATTGAGATAAGACATCAAAAAGATCTTTCAGAATCATGCACTGGTTCCATTTTAATTGTAAATAAAAATATTTCAGTACTGTTAAAGCTTACTACATTTACCCACTTAAAACTAACTTCTCATAGTTTGAAACCATTAATTGTTATGCAAGAGCAGGGAGCCGTGTCGGCCTTGCCACTGTGAATGTTTTGCTATCATATTTGTTAACTACAATAAAGGCTGATCACTAATTAAAATCAAGACTGAAAATTAAGTCTCCCAATTGGTTAGAATTACAAACAGCTTGTGAATTAACATTGGGAACTCCTCTGAGATGTAAGCCAACCCCCCACCTCCATCATTTCCCTTCCACTGTCTAATTGTAATCCACAGAACCCCATATGCAACACCACAAAAATTGCAAATTTGTTTTGTCTCTACCCTTCCCTTCTTTATAATTTCTACCAAAACTCTTGATTCACAGTTTCAGACTAATATGGACAATACAATATTTCAGTAATAATGATTACAAAAGCATATAATCTGAATAGAACTACAATAATTTTTCACTGAATAAAGACAGGGATGCTACTATTTTACACTTGAAAAAATAAATTGAATGCAAATACTTAAGTATCAAAGGAAATAGTATACAATAACTGGAAACAATGTTTCAATAGAATAAAGATACTCCAAAAACAAAGTCATAGAAGTAGTTTGTTGTAACCTTATTATGAAACAAACATCTCAAATAAACTAAGGTTTGCACAATTATTTTTCAAGCTAAAGGATACACTGGTGTTAACATCATATGGTATTTAAAATGAGGGAGACAGACGAGGGAGGTGAACTGTTAAGTCTGGTAAACTTCAAGAGGACCCTGATATAATTTACAATTTGTACCAATGTATAAGCTAGTCATTTCTTACACTGATTTTGGAAATATTAATTACAGGCAGTCCAGAAGTTATGAACAAGAGAGTTTCTGTAGCTTTGTTCTTAAGTTGAATTTGTATGTAAGTTGGAACAGGTACTTTTTAAAAGAACAGCTTCACCCATACACACTTCTCTCACTTCCTGTTGTCTCACCCCCATTCTTAATTAACTATGAGTTGTTTGTAAGTCAGATGTTTGTAACTCGGGGACTGCCTGTATACTATTTTGAAATTCAAATCAAAGATAATTTATTAATCTTAAAATGTATACATTGATTTTGATAATGTATACAAAACACTGAGCCAGCACTCTTAATTTACTTTTTGACATATTTCATATACAACATTAAAATACTAAGTTGCCAAAAGACAGAAAACCATGGGGATTTGTTCATGGCTTAGCTTCATCAAAGTGTCAGCCACTATGGATTTCTGTTAAAGTTACATTTTAAGTCCAATCACACTGACATACTTCCAAAGGCTACACAATTCTACTCCAATTGGAAACTGACATAAATGTTTTTAAAGTGTTCCAATATAGACTGGTATAACTCTATATGACCAAACTGCATACTTACAGATTGATAGCTCCTGCACACTAGCAGCAAGACAACAAAAATAGAAAGAACAGCCCCACAAATTACAATTTCCCATGGAAAACCATGAAGATCTGATTCAGGTCTCATATTTTCAGGCAATGCTGCAACAACCTTTAAAATATAAAAAGAAAAAAAAACAAAGCATTTTTTCTCTGGATTAACTTCAAGATTGTGAACATTAATTGGTCATTTCTTCAAACATGAAAGTTATCAGAAACCCAACACCTGTTCTGGAGATTTTACTGATTTATTGTTCAAAAGAATGCAAGAGTTTTTATCCTGATACCAATCATACTCCGAAACAATGCGAATATATAGCATGATCAAATTGTTGTTTTGCAGCATTATATTCACTGAGTATTGCTCAAGTGCTCAATGTATTGGACCCATACACATCATTCTAACAAATTTATTCTTGCATAAGTCAGTTAACTAATGGGATTAACAGATAAATAAATAAAGGTCATATTAAATCACTATGTATTTCAAACTATAACCAGAATTAATTATGGTAAGGAGATGCAACAGCACCAAGGATGAGGAAATTGAGAACAGAATTATTACACACTTATTACCAATGTTGTATGTGTTTATGGTATTAAATAACTGCAATATGTAAGCCGCCTCGAGTCCCCCTTGGAGTAGAAGACGGGAAATAAATAGGGTAAATAAATAAATAAATAAATAAAATATCAGTGCAGTGCGCCATACTTTTCCTAAAAATAAAAGTTTATATTTTACCAGAAAAATGAAGATCGGGTTGGTTAGCTAAAATCACTATGTGAGATTCAACACCTGCTTCTTCATACTATTTCTTGGTCTTTATTGTCTGTTTTGGATTGCCAAGTTACAATATCATAGTGACAGAAAAAGCTACAAATGCTTTTTTTGTTTTTTTGTTATTATGTTCAACTCAGGCACTAGATTGTAACAAGTCTGTGGCTTTTTAGCCCAAAATTGCTCATACTTCAGATCTCTTTTGGCTTTTTATTTATTTCCTATTATTCTATCCGATATGAATTTTGGCACTGTTTTTCTCTCCTTGCACTGTTTTTTCCCATAATCCATTGCTCCCTCGGGTTCCTGCTTCTTAGCCCACTGCCCCATTTGTCCCTTCACTAACCCATGCTGTTTCTTGGCCAATCTCCTTAACTCTTCTTTGTCCATTAAGCCTAGTGAAGATTCTTAAAAACATGTCCTTTTTCTTCTTGTTTCTCAGTCCATTAAGGAGTCTATCCTTCAGCTACCATCTCAGGGATTGTTGTATTTCAGCTTTCCTGTTGTCATTTATTTGTTCTGTCGCTTCCGACTCTTCGTGACCTCATGGACCAGCCCATGCCAGAGCTCCCTGTTGGCAGTCACCACTCCCAGCTCCTACAGAGTCAAGCCAGTCACTTCAAGGATACCATCCATCCATCTTGCCCTTGGTCAGCCTCTCTTTCTTTTTCCTTCCATTTTCCCCAGCATCGATGTCTTCTCTAAGCTTTCCTACCATTTAGGAACATTTCCAAGCCCACAGCTCATAAGGCTGGCACATTTACAACCCAACCAAATCTGGATTTTAATCTGACAACTTTCCCTATTTTTTGTTTGTCTCTTCATTGTTCGACATTTCATGAACACTATTCATTGACCACATGGCAGTTTCGCCAGTCAGCGTCAGATTTCACTGTTAACGCAAAACCCAGGTCTTCAGATGACTGGTTGAATGACCTTTGCTGGGATCTGGATAGAACTAATGTATCCCCTCTGTTGGTTCTCCAGGACCTCTTAGTGGATTTCAGCACTAAGATATACTTCTGGACTGCCTCACTAGGATAGGACTTGAGACACTCTTTTCCAGTGGTCCCACTCTTTTCTAGATAGAAAAATTCAAGCAGTAGTTTTGAGGGATTCATATTTGTCCTGTGGAGTTCTTTGTGATTCTGTTTTGTCCGTCACCCGATTTAATATAATATATTTGGAGACAGATGTAAGCAGTATATTGATGACACTCAACTCTGTGTCTATTTCCTCCTGACTCCAAACTAAACTGGTATCAGTAATTGACCGAATGAGGGTGAACAAAATGAAGCCTAATCCAGACCTAATCCAGACAGTATTAACAATGCCTCCACCAACACAATATTGATTCCATTATATATGTCCATATTGCACCTTGGATGGTATTAGTAATACTTTCTATATCATGCTTCTGCAACATTAGCACATAAGGTGGCTCACAGAAATTGAAAAAGATACAGCTAAAACCCAAAGACTTACAAAAAATATTTTTACACATTATAACTAAAATACAATTAAATTACCTATAAAATTAAAACCATTCAAACCAAAGCCAATAAAAGGCACAAAATAAAAATCAGCAAACAACACACTATTAATAGACATTGCAATCATATAAATTCCATGATATATACCTAGCCCTAAGTACTCTTAAGGCACCAGATCTTGTCTGATCTTGGAAGCTAGGCAGGTTCAGCCCTGCTTAATATTTGGATGGGAGACCAGCAAAAATACCAGATTATGTGGGCTGTATTTCAGAGGAAAGAACTGGCAAAACCACTTTTGAGTAGTCCTCGCCTAAGAACACCCTATACATCACTGGGCTGTCAACAGGCAACTTAAAGGCACACACATTTGTCTGTCTACCACAGTAGCCATAACATAAATGACTTACAAATACATGGTGTTCTTGAACAATCTTTGTTCCAATTTGGTTTGCTATTTTATATATATATATATATATATATATATATATATATATTTGAAAAATTGGCTAATTCCAGCTGCAATTTTTCAGATTTCTAAATGACTACTGATCCTACAGTCTAAACCAGCGAAAAATGCAGCAATACTCCAAATTAGTATTGCTGAACGGCTAGGGATCAGTGCTGATTGGCCCCTGGAGTGCTTTCAGGAAAGAAATAAAATAACTGTAGCCGATGCGAACAAGTAGAGTACCAGACCCTGGCACACAGGGGAAAGCAAGGTTCATCTCTCACATGAGAAAGCTTAAGAAACAGTGCTCTGAATTACAGCCTTTACCTCTTATTACGTTACCACTCTGAGAAGATGCAGGAATAATAAAAGAGAAGCAGAAAGTAAACAGTGATCAAGGCAGATCTTACTAATGTTTTGCAACAGATAAGCCTAAAAATCTCATTGCCATGTAATGACAACAACAAAGAAACTACCTGTTCCATTCCCCCCCCCCCCCCCTGAAATTTAGGGTAACCAAAAGACAATTTTTGTGTGGCAGAACTATGGGCTCCATTCTGTTTTATATACAAATGTTGTCCGGACTTAGAATATTTTATAATTCTCTTCTTATACAGACTTACAGTGAAGAACAAATTACTAGATTCCAGAACCTGAAGTCTGTCCATCCCTGAACTATTTTTCAATGAATGTATTTCCCCCTTAGATTATTTTAGTATTACAGCCAGTCTCATAACTTCCCCTAAAGCACTGTGAAATCACCATGTCTTGTAAAATGGGGAAGGAGTAAGTAGCCAACACACTGAGCTGAAACTGCTATGAGCCTCTAAGTCACTTCCTACTAATGTCAATCCTACCATGGGTTATTTTTTTTTTTTGTCAAAGCATATTCAGAGCGGTTTTTGCCTTTCCTTTCCTCTGAGTTGGAAGGGTGTCATTTGTCCAAGGTCACCCAATGAGATTCTATGGTTGAGCAGGGATTCAAATCCTGGCTTCCAGTGTTCGTAGCCCAATACTCAAACCTGGCTGGCATCAAGACTTTTATGAAACATTCACATGAGTAAGCAGTACATTTAGAATGCAAAATGATACATGAAGGTAAGTACAAGCAAGGGTGCAAGCTGTGATAAATTAACAGTGCAAAGTAACACAGTAGTTTTATGAATCTACATATAGCATGTGTGAATGCAGACATACATAGTCTAATATTGCTTCTAAAAGCAATATTCTGTGGCCAAACACACTACAATTCTTACCTCATGCAAAGGACTAGTCAAAGAGAACACAAGTTGCCCAACTGGGAAACAACTATGAATTAGTAGCATGTTCCAGTTACAAAGTCTCGAATTAACAGTGTGTGGTATCTGAGCCAATTATCAGATAAGTTTGATCAGCATGGTCCCAGTTTTAACAGCTGATCGACACAGCCAAACCATAAACTGATAATCAAGCACACCATGAATTCTGAATCCTTACTTAAGCAAGCAAACAACAAATGACAAAACAAAACCTTAAATGGAAGAAAATTCAAACCAGGCATTTATTTTCCTCTTACTTTCCTCTATCCTAAACCGAAAGCCTACCCCACTGTTGATCCTTTTTGGGCTCCCCTCAATTACATGTTTTGTATTTCTACCTCATCCAGGGTTTTATCATTTTACCTCGTCCATTTGGCCTGCCCGTTCTGTTCGATTTTATATTGTGTTAATTTGTTTTGTTTATTTTATTTTGCTACTGTATGTATTTTATTCTGATGTAAATTTTTGTTGTTGCATTCTGTATTTTATATTGCTGTATTGTATCTTTGGGCTTGGCCTCATGTTAGCCACCCCGAGTCCCCTTTGGGGAGATGGTGGTGGAGTATAAATAAAGCTGATGATAATGATTGCTCTTATACAGAGTCTCTATCCCAAGCATCCTCGAACGCAGCCCTCCAGATGTTTGGGCTACCAATGCCCAGAATTCTAGACCATTGAACAAGCTGAATAGGGCTTAAGGGGTTGATGCCCAAACAGCAGGAGAACTGCAGTTTGAGGATGTCTGCCCTATGCTCCGCTATTACCATAGCAGTGGCTTAAGCTATGGAAAATACATTTTTTTTCCTCATGCCACAAAACTAAAATCTTGGGGTGCATCATTCTACACTGTAGAATTAATGCAATTTGACACCACTTCAACTGCTGTGGGTGAATGCTATGGAATCCTGAGAGACGTAGTTTGGTGATCGGGGCCAACACACATAAAATCATAAATTTGGAAGAGATCACAAAGGCCATCCAAGTCCAACCTCATTGTGCTGCGCAGGAAAAGCACAATCAAATCACCTTTGACAGATAACCATCCATCCTCTGCATTAAAAAAAACCTGGCAGTGAATGTTAGGCTGTTAGGAAT